AAAAAAAATGGGGCTTCTTTTCTTCTCCCACTCAGCTGCCCCTAAGTTGATTGGAGGATCTTTCTGGGAGACAGCTGGGAGGTAGTTTAGGAAAATCAGCCCCCAGGGGAACCTGGGTGGCTCAGTTGGTTAAGCGTCTTCCTTCTGCTCAGGCATGATCCCAGGGTCCTGGGATTGAGCTCCACATGGGGCTCCCCGCTCAGCGGGGAGTCTCCTTCTCCCTCTCCCTCTGCCTGCTGCTCCCCCTGTTTGTGCGCACTCTCTATCTCATATAAATAAATAAAAATAAAATCTTTTTAAAAATTGATAACACTAAAAAAAAGAAAAAAGGAAAATCAGACCCCAGAAGGAAGGTCAACTTGGCTCAGAAATTTTCTGTAAGTTTCAAAAACAGCAAGACCCAGCCTTGCTCCCTGCTGGATTTGGAGAGTTATACGCCTCAAATAAAGAGTGAGGCCCAGATAATCAACCTACTGGGAAATCACTTGCTTTGCCCTATGCTGCAATGGAGAAACATTGTTCTTCAAACATGCCCTAAGAATTTCCAGCTGACCCAGGAAGAGCAATGAGTCTAGAGGAACCTGGCAGAAGAGGAAAGCAGAGAAAACCTTATTGGTCATAGGAGGTAAGAACTAGAGAGAGAGAAAAGAAACAAAAAAAACCCAAAAATCTCTATATCCTGGATGCAGATGAAGTCATGTGCTATTTTTCAATGGAAGACCACTGTTACCTCAACAACAATTTACAGACTATTGGGTCAGATAGTTTTCCTGGTAGCAGGGATGAGCTGCCTTAATCCATCTCCTAAGTCTCTTCCCTAAGCTGCTTAGTGATCCTTTAGGGTTATCTAGGCAGTATCTAGTAGAGAGAAAGAACTATTGCCCTTCCCTGTCCTTTCATAGCGAAGAGCAATTTCTGTTCTACTTGTTCTTCCCTGGACTATACACTCAGCCATGGGACCCACACTTGGGTCTGGGAGTGGGGGATGGGTATATAGGGCAGGTTGTTTTTCCCAAATATGCATTGTTTTGGATAATTTACTAGTCTTTCTAGGCCTCACTTTCCTCATCTTTAAAATAGGCATAATGTGTGAATAAACTTTTTTAAAATAAACTTTAATAAAGTACTGAAGTTATAGTTGACGTATTTACTCCAATAGCTGCAATCTTCCTGGAGGAAGCTTTTAAAGATGAAATAATTGCACTCCTCCCACCTCTAAATAAAGTAAAAGTCTCAAGTCTTTGCCCAAACTAAGATCAGAGACTCTTAAATTGGACAGTGGAATGTGGGGAGGGGGGCAATAGATGGATATTCCTACTGCCTCCAGCCTTTATCCACTTTTTTCATAACCCTGGAGCAAAAATAAAATAAGATAGCCAGGTAGAAAGAATCTTCTCTGACCTTGCAGCCTTTCTCACTTTTTGACCTCTTGAGGGACAGTGCTAAATGGAAAATCTCTTAGATTTACACTAGGGTCAGACCTGGCAGAGAATGTACATCAAGGCTGGCTGCAGGGTAGGGGGAGGGTAGTTGCTGGGAAGGGGAGAGAATAGGCTTGGTATATGGGCAAGAACATTACCTCATTCACATCCAGGTATAAGAGCCTTATTTGTCTCTCCACCGTTTTTCCTGCCAAAGATTGTTGTTTTCAGTATCTCCTTACTCCTTAATATTGTCTTCCAGAAAATTAAAATTTCAAGATATTAGAGAGGCCTTGCTATTCACCCTTACATCACCAAGTAACTTAAGGTTAGTCACTTTCCATCCATGGGCCTCAGTTTCCTCATCTGCAAACTGGGGATGGTAGTCCTTGCCTTGCCCATCTCAGGGTTTCTATAAAGATCCAATGAGGGATGCCTGGGTGGCTCAGTTAAGCGGCTGCCTTAGGCTCGGGTCATAATCCCAGGGTCATGACCTGCATCAGGCTCCCTGCTCAGTGGAGAGTCTGCTTCTCCCTCTCCCTCTGTCTGCTGCTCCTCCTGCTTGTGCTCTTTCTCTGTCAAGTAAATAAATAACATCTTAAAAAAGATCCAAGAGATAATGGCTGTAAACACACATTGCAAACTATAAAGTGCAACACCTGTATATGCAGTAAATTTCAGCATTTCCACCCCTAGGATAACTGTGCCCTCTCTCCATCTTGGGTTTTTACAAATTATGTTACATCCAGCATTCTGGGCTATATACACTGTTCCCAAAGAAAGGAGATAGTTACTCCACTCATCTGAGAACTGTTTTTCTTCAAATCTTATCCACTGTGAGGGAGTGGGCATCAGTTCAAGTGGCCCATTACAGACATAAGAGGGACTCAAAAACAATCCATGATGCTCACATCTCAGCCCTGAGGTTCTCATCTGTCTTGTGCCATCAGCCTTGGAGGGTGAAGTTCCACTTTATTCTGAGAAGCATGTGAAACTGGTGGTGAGGGCTCATAAACTAATTTTGTTCTACTCTAAACCAAGAAAGCACCAATGGTCCTTGAGCTGCCCTAAGGTCAGGCTTCAGTGAGAACCTTCAGTCCTCAGTTCCCCCACTGCAGACCTCAGTAATTTCGCTGTCACTTCAAAGACCAAAGCTCTGAAGTGAGTTTGGCCATTGAGATCTAGAGATTTAGCCTTGGGCTTTAGAAGACCAGGCACCAAGAAGGGACAAAAGAGGCAAAAGTAGGAAGATAAATAAAAATAAAAGGAACTTTAGGAAATACCATTTAAAAGATCAAAAAGACATTGAGTTGAATCTCCACTAAAGAAGGGTAAGAGACCCATCTGTGGGGAGGAAGACCCTGGCAAATGGGCTAGCTCTAGAGTTGTCCCAACCAAAGAAGTCTAGGAGATGAGTGGGGAATCAAGGTGTCAGGCCTCCCCCACAATGCATGTAGAGGTGTGTGTGTGTGTGTGTGTGTGTGTGTGTGTGTGTGTGTGTGTACTATAGAGGGGGGCAGTGTGAAGGAGCTAAAAGGGGAAGGGTTTGATTTTGTCCCTAAAGTGCTAGGTAGACATATCAATATCTGTACTGTACTGAGAGGCCTCCACCTCAGGTCCACCTGACCAAGATGCAAGCAGTAAAACTCTACCCCATTCATTGACATCCCCTCCCTTTTTCTCTATAATTAAGCTGAGCTAGGAACATGTCTGGTAGTTCCATGGCCAAAGAATCTAGCTCTCCAAGCTAGCTATAATAAGGAAGCAATAAATGCTGCAGGTCAGTCTTGGGAAAGTGGTAAAGAATCAACACTTTGGTGGGATGGGATAGGATATGCCCCATTCATAGAGTACTGGCTGTTGTGGATACCACATCCCAGGCCCCTGCTACTGTTGTGTATAGGAACAAAGCAGGAGAGTCCAGAGAGAATGACTGGGCAAGGTTGCCAGAAGCCCAAGAGACCTAGGGAGAGAGCAGAACAAGTTAGAAATCTGTGGAGCAATCTCATTAGTCTCCTGCTCTCCTTATCTCTTAAAAAAAAAAAAAAAACAAAAAAACAAAAAAAAACACATAGTTTAGGTCAATGGTTGAAACATTAGAAACAGTAGAAATACATCACTTAGCTAGGTTGATGATAGTTCTACCCTGTTCTATCTTGGTGAGACCATTCCTCATGAAGCTGGGTTCAGCTTTAAGCCCCACATTCTCTAGAGAAACACAAAGTGGTACGTTCCAGAGAGGAAATGTAATTTTTAGACCTCTTCAGGGCTATCACAAGGCAGAGAAAGCAGATGAAGTCTGTGTGGCCCATGGAACAGATCCAGGACCCATGAGTAGCTACTACAGGGAGACAGAAGGTTTTTCTTTACATTGAGCTCCAATCTACCAGTCATAGCTGCAATACACATTGGGCAGTAGTAAGCTCTCTGACACTGTAAATATGTGAGCAAAGGTGACACAAACATTTGTTGGGGATATTACAAAAGGAACTCAAACATGGATTGGAGGATTTGGAAGGGAAGTTGGACTAGATAACCTTGAAGACAACTAAGCTGACTGGTTTGATAGCAGTGTTAGATTTCACCTACATGTTGTTCACATTTTCTTAGGTAGATGTAGGGAAGGGGGAGTCAGAGGGCCTGGACAATATCTTAGCTGCAGAAATATGGAAAAGGGTTTTAAAAGGTAGTTGGTTAGTTGAAAAGTTGGAATCTATCCACTCTCCTGCCTCATATTGTCTCATGCTACTTAAGCCTCTGAGAAAGTAACATTGGCTATAGAATGGTCACAATGATAAAGTTAGACAAACTCTGGAATGGAGCCCCCAAACTGGGCTCTAGCTTAATTCTACCATTGATTTGCTCTGTGACTTTGAGCAAATCATTTTCCCTCTCTGTCTCAGTTCCTATCTCTATAAAACAAGGCTAACAAACCCTGACCTGCTTACCACAAAGGGGTGTTAGATCAGACAAGTGTAGTCAATATGTAGGGGTATATAAATTGGACTGGGGCTGGGGAAGGAAAGAAAATTAACATGATTTAAATATTTCTAATGCATCAGGCACTATAAAAGACGCTTGCACATACATTTCTTACTCAACCCTTATAAGAACTTATGAGGTGAGTAGTACTCTACTTTTTATGATTTAAAGACCTGGGGCTCAGAGAGGTAAAAAGATTTACACAAGGTTCACATAGCTATTAAGGAACAGAGGTAGATTTCAGGCTGCCAGATGGCAAGGCTTACATATTTTCCCATTGTGTCATGGTGCGTGTACACATGAGCAGAGATAACTGAATATGACTATTAGACAGTGAGGCCCTGAGAAAGCTTGTAAAAGACCAGGATAGAAAGACCAGCATCATGTCAACCTGGCTACTTCCTTGACAATTGTAGGCCCAGAAATGTGATATTACCTGACAGACTCCAAAGATTAGCATAGCCACTGTTGCCCCTCCAGTGTTTCTAGCTTTCTCTTCCTCTACCCCTAGCCCTACTGAATAACAGTATTCCAGAGGAAAATTCCTTGGGGGTGGTCCCCAGTTTCTGGTCTTTCTGTCCCACCTTTCCAGCTCACCTCACTAGAGTTAAGGGCTGGGGACTTCAAAGGGCATATTGAACTCCAGTCTGTCTTCAGAGTTTTCAGCTGTGTCCCCCCTCAAGGTCTCAGCTCCAGTATAGGAGGCTGAACTGGAAAACGTTTGCAGGTCTAGCTCTGTGCATTCGATGGGGGTGTGGACCCAGTGGGAGTGGCTCTCTGAGGCACAGGAGGCCATGGTAAAAGACTCCTGTGTGGGAAAGCCACAAGTTGAACTGCAGTCATCATCCAGGATGGGGTTAAGTGGCTGGGTCTCAAAGATGCTTTCACTCAGTGGGGACTCAGGACTGGTCTCCTGGCCAGGTGGCATGGTGAAGAGAGATTCCTCTTCTGCTGCCTCATCAGCCTCAAACTGCAGCGAACCTCCTGCAACTTGAAGCAGAAAGCCACTGGGTCAACCAAAGGCAGGAGCTCCTTTCAGTGGAGCACCTGGTCCTGAGTACAAGATGGGCAGGGTCCGGGAAGTAGTGCTCCCCTTCCCCTCCCTGGAGATCTAAGGACCTAGCACCAGGCTGAGGTGATACAGTTGGGAAACACACTTACACTGGGGTATCAAATTGAGGCTACCTAGTGGTAGATCAAGAAAAAGGGTCAATTTCTCCAGAGAAAGAGAAACCCTTTGTGGGCAGCAGGATTTTGACCCTCTTCTTCCATGATCTTCATCCCTTGGTGTTATGCCTGTGTGTTATGTTGTGTCATATGGCAAGAGGCACATTGCAAATGGAATTAAGATTATGGACCTTAAAATAGTGATATTATCTTGTATTACCCAGGTGGCCCCAATGTCATTACATGTGCTCTTAAAAGCAGAAGAATAAAAGCAGAAGAGTCAGAAAGAATATGAGAGAGACGTGACATGAACTAGTTTTGAAAATGAAAAGGGGTCATAGGCCAAAGAATGCAGATGGTCTCTAGAAACTGTAAATGGCCCTCAACTGACAGACAGCATGGAAATGGGACCTCATCCCTATAACTGCAAGTAACTGAATTCTTCCATCTTTCTGAATGAACAAGGAAATGGATTCTCTCCTCCAGTTTCCAGAAAGGAACACAGTCCTGTGAACACCTTGAGTTTGGCCTTCTAAGACTCTAAGAAGAGATCCAGCTAAGCCTACAAAGCTTCTGATCTATGGAAATGGTGAGATAATAAATGAGTTTTGTTTTAAGCCATTAAATTTGTGGTAATTTGTTACAGCAGTGATAGAAAAGTAGTACATGCTTCATGCATAAGTCTGATATAGCATCAGGTTATAAACTAAGAGCCCACAGGATGTGTATTTGTTTGACCCTCTGCATTGTGGTTGTTTTATTTATTTATTTATTTATTTATTTATTTATTTATTTATTTATTTATTTTCTCATTCATTCATTTATTCATTCATTCAGTATGTATGTATGTATGTATGTATGTATTTTGTTATTAGAATTCATCATCAGAGCTTAAAACTATCATACAGAAATTCAGATTTCTGGATTCTTCTGAAAATTCAGAAGATCTTAAAACATTGAATATTCCCCCATGGTAAAATAAAGAGAAAGAGAAAGAAAGAAAGAAAGGAAAGAAAGAAAGAAAGAAGAAAGAAAGAAAGAAAGAAAGAAAGAAAGAAAGAAAGAAAGAAAGAAAGAAAGAAAGGAAGGAAGGAAGAAAGGAAGGAAGAAAGAAAAAAGAAAGAAAAAAGGAAAGAAGGACGGAAGGGAGGAAGGAAAGAAGGAAAGAAAGAATGAACCACCTGGAGCTGAGTAGCAGATTCCCCTTTGGACAGGAGATCAACTAACTCTTTAGTTTGCCATAGTCCCTACTCCTCTCTATTACACCATATATTGGATCTAATTCACACACTAATTTCCCCATATGACTCTAGTATGCATGTTAGTCAGTGACTCCTGATAAACACCCTCTCCAAATGGAAAAAAAAAAATCTTATCCTCTTTCTCCTTTGGAGACCCTGAGGGAGCTACCTGCCTTCATATCCCCAGAGAAAGGTACTTCATTATTATCTTGAAGAGAGGGGAGGAGCAGAGACGGGTTACCCATTTCTCCTTTCCTGAGGCAAGAGGAGGGACAAAAGCAACTCTCAGATGTGGCCTCATCTTCATCTTTTTGGGCTGTGGGGACCAAATTCTTCACTGCCCATGTTTCATGACCATGCCCAGGGACTGGGCAACAGCTTTCTTATTTAAGAAACTGGTTCCAAAGTCAGAAACAAGATGGTCCACCCTGAACCACAATGTTCCAAGATCCACCAAATAGTAGAGGAGAAAGAAGCAGAGCTTGAGAGGGGTCATAAAGGGATAACAGTGTTCCCTTTGTGTCCCTGTAGCCCATGAAATGCTAGATTCACCACTACTTAAGCCAAATCTATATGCTAGGCCTTTTATGGATTATCCGGCATGGCCTAAAGCCAAACTTACCCAAGGAGGTCTATGTAAAAGAGATCTTCCCACATAGAGAGAAGTTAAAAAAGTGATATTGTTTTGGGCCCAGTATCCAGTGGGCTGAAGAGGAGTCTGAGCACCAGTGTATCTAAGAAACTTTATCCTCCCCCTTTCTTACTAAATAAACTCTATTCACTAGCCTGGATTCCTGTTTAGATGTCTCTGCCTAGCTCTCAGTAACTCAATGACACTAAAGCTGCACTGAACCTTAGTACTCTGGGCTCCTGCTTTAACCCCTTGCTTATTGCTGGCCAGCCCATCATCCTATCTCCTCCCATCTTTACCTTCAGTGACCTGGACTTTCTGTCCCATATTTTTGGCTAATGGCTAGAGTTGTGCTGAAAACAGATCACAATGGTACTCCTGACTTTAAATATGACCTTCCATCTGCAATTTCCATGGCAATCTCCTATGGGCTGGGCCTGACCTCTTTGGGTGTCAGTATTGTCTGGGGGAAAATGTCTGGGTCCACCAACTCCTCTGGAAACTGGGCTCCCAGTTACCCACATTTGGGATATTACTATACTGGTAACTGTTGCCTAAGACCTCACCCACTTTTATTACAGTCATGTCTCAAAACCAGCCATTCATCCTCCATTCCTGACAAGCTCCAGAATCTATACATATAAGTAGAAATGAAGAATTAGAAAAGAACTTAGAAACCAACTAATCCAACACCAACTCTCATTTTAAAGATTGGGGATAAAGAGGCCCAAAGAATCTAGATGACTTGTCTAAAGTTGCATAGTTATGTATAGGTTGATTTAGAACCTAGGTATCCAGATTCCTTCCCCAAGGGAAGTAATCTTTCTCATGATGTTGTGTTCCTTTATGAACCCCTGTACCTTAATGAATCAGGTTCCATAAACTTGCAGGGTTGGCCTCAATTGTCTCTGAAGCCCCATGCTTTCTATTGCCACCCACAGATAGTCCACCACTGAAGTTTTCAACACTGTAGGGAAGGCCCATTAACTCTCAACCCCAGAAAATTCCTCTCTTCTGCTAATCAGAGCCTTGCTCCCAATACATGTAATATGTGAAGCAGCTACCCTTACCACGCTGGCAATGTCTGTTGAAGAACTGCTTGCAGTAGAGGAAGAAGAGCCCCAGGAACGCCAGGGTAAACACCACGAACAGACTGCTCATCAGTGCAACAAGTGTGGCCTCCTGAGGGGGCACTGTGGGTACATCTGCTTTCACTAAGCTCAACTGGAAGGCACCTGTGAGACAAGAAAGTGGGGGAAGTCAGTCACTGTGGGCAGTCAATAGTCACCCTGACGCTGGGCCTGAACTTCCTTAGGCCATTATCCTCTTCCTAGGACCTTCCCCGGTTAGGACTGCTAAGCTGGTTTTAATTCTTTGTAGAGAAGGCAAAAACATAAAGAACCAAATGGAAGAACTTGCATATACTGTTGGTATGGTATAAGTTAATATAATTATTTGAAGATACACATATTTTATGGTCTTTCCATGTCACATCTAGTTATATAACCTAGAAAACTGGAAACAAACTACAATGTTCATCAGTAAGGTACAGGATAAATAAATCATGTAATGATATAATATTATTATATAACTTAAAAGACCTGTATGGATCAATATAAATAATCCAGAAGGGAAAAGGCAAATTGGGGAAAGTGAGTAACTTGAAGTAATTTATATAAAACATCTATCACCAAAAAATACAAGTATTAAAACATGGGTGGAGGGTTTGGTAGAATCATAGTGCTCACCAATTATCCACATGCTTCCCTGCATTTCCTATACACCCTTGTAGTTAGGCTATCAGAGTACTTCTGGTCAATGGACCATGAGTGAAAGTAATGTGTGTCCCTTGCAGACTGAAGTAGTTAAAAACCACTATGTCTCTTCCATATCTTCTTTGTTCCATCAACCTAGGAGCCACATGGTCTAGATGGTATAGTCACAAGATGGAGGAATGTCTTTGTATAGTGAAAAATAAGCTTTTGTTGTATTAAGTCACTGAGATTTAGGGGTTTGTTACTGTAGCATAGCCTACCAACAGGATGCATACAATTTTATGACAGTGGTTGCCTCAGGGGAAATAGGGAGAGAATGAAATTCAGAGAGGATTCAAAAGGGAATTCTATAGGGGTGCTTGGGTGGCTCAGTCAGTTAAGCATCTATCTTTGGCTCCGGTCATGATCCCAGGGTCCTGGGATTGAGCCCTGCTTTGAGCTCCCTGCTCAGAGGGGAGTCTGCTTCTCCCTCTCCCTCTGCCCCTCCTTCATGATCTCTCTCTCTGTCTCTCAAATAAATAAACAAAATCTTTAGAAAAAAAGGAATTCTATTAAACCTGTGGAATCTTTGTTCTTTTTAAGAAAATCTGAAGTAAATATGCAAAATGTTAAAATTTATTAATTTTGGATGTTGTACAACTAACCTTTTTTTATAAAGATTTTATTTATTTATTTTTGAGAGAGAGAACACGAGCAGGGGATAGGGGCAGAGGGAGAAGCAGACTCCCTGCTGAGCAGGGAGCCTGATGTGGGACTCGATCCCAGGACCCCGGGATCATGACCTGAGCCAAAGGTAGATGTTTAACCAACTGAGCCACCCAGGTGCCTGCAACTAACCATTTTTATATTTTTCTTCATTTTAAATATTTCTACATATTTGAAGTATTTCATAATATAAAAATATCAATAATTTTAAAAGAGTGAGTATATATATAGATGGTAAATAGATAAAAATGATAGATAGAAAAATGGATAGTGGTATGGGCATAGACTAGATCCTAGGACTTCATTCAGGCTTTTACTATTCCTAAGCAATAGAGACTCTTTTAAACCTCATATTATCATCATCATTATCATCTACAAGTGCACAAATATTATAATTTATAGTGTTTTCTAAATCTATTAATTCATTAGACCTAGACAGCCATCTCATAAGGTATGAAGAATGGTGATTATCATGACTTAAATTATTTTCAGATGATGTAAAGAGGGTTAGGCAGATAATGTATTGTGAAATAAGAAATCAAATCTAACTGTTTCCCTTGCCAATCTGCTCTACAGGAAGGAGTACAGGGGGTAGGGGAAATCTTTACTACCCTATCTTGCTACCACTCAATGGGTTGGAGGAAAACAAGAGAAGAGAACTGGATACACACACTGAACCTCAGAGGTGGGTGTCTGTCTTGTGCATGGGATGCACTCTTGGTCCTGCAGTCCTCCGATACGTGTCTTTCGGTAGAATCTATGGTCAGAGCAATAAGGAATGGCAAAGTAATAAAATAAGCAATGCACGTGGGGTGGTCCTTACTGAGACCATAAGCAACTTCTAAAAGTCTTGCCCTCCTGGAAGCCAGCACCCATCTGCAATCCTCATGAATGCTCTGCATCTATGTCTGATTCTGAATCAGAGTCCCAGATGTTCCACCTCCTTCCCCATTCACCATACCCGATAGCTAAAATGGGAATTAGTCTTACAAGAGAGGGGAGAAGTGCTTCATAATCTACAGTGAGATTTATCTTGAGTCTTGGGCCTTGGCTTAAGCATGCCAGCATGATGAAAAAGTTGTTAAGTATTCATCTGTGGCTGACCATGTGCTAGGCACTTTGTAGGCGGATCATGAGAAGACACTGCTTCTCTTTCATGGGAGCTTAAGCTCATCATGATATGGACAGTTAGAATACTCCAACTAGACTCTGAGAGGTAAGGATGAAAAAGACCTCCAAGGAATATAAAAGGTCTAGGAAAGCTTGGTCTCACACAGCAGGCTCACCTAGGCAGACAGTCCCCACAGACAGCATTAGAGGTAGCTGTGCAGTTGGCCTTCTGGATACGATTGATGACAGCACAGGTGATGCAAGTCTGACATCTATGGTGGCCCCAGCTGCTTTTGAATCTGCGGGGAGGGCAGGCTGTGCAGTATGCATCCCCACCTTCTCCATAACCACAATCCTGCAGAGAGATGGGGATCACTAACATTGCTCAACAGAAACTTGGAGAGAGGATCAGCTATGGGACAAATGGACATCATATAAGTAATGTTTTACAAACTGCAAGTTGCAACACATTTATGAATCATAAAATAAATTTACTAGTTTGAGATCAGCACTGAAATTGAAAAACAAAACAAAATAATGATATAAATATCAGAGTGCTTATACTAATGCTAAGTATCAATCAGCATAGGCTAGGTTATGCTAAGGCAAAAAGCAAATTCCAAATCTCAGTGTCTTAAAAGAACAAAAGCTTAGTTCTCACTCACCCTATTTGCCTACCAGAGGTCTAGTAGGAGTTATGTTTTACATTATTCTCACTGGGCTACACGAGGTGGCAGAGGTTTTATCTTTGTGTGGCCATGATTGGAGCATCAGGGAAAAGAGAATTTTGTGAATTGCCATGGCTCTTACTTTCTTCCAGAAATGATCCATTTCACTTTGCTCACATGTCTTTGACCACACATATCATCTGATTATTAGTAACTACACAAGTAAAAGAAAATGCAATTCCACAATGTTCTAGAAGGTGGGGAGGTGGAAATATTTGACAAATAGCTGTAATCACCACCAATACTGCAATATTATATTGTAAAACTTTTACAGATAAAATATATGCAAGTATGTGTTAGGTTGTGATAAAAAAAATGTATCCCTTACTCTTGGTAATGGTAAAAAAATGTTTGAATGCCAATGATATAGAGGAGAGATGAGTGATCCAGCTCTTTCTTAGCTCAGGTCTAATATTGACTTAATGTGACTCTAGCCAGCCCCTCTCCATTTCTGAGCATCAAAAGCCCCAACATCTGAAGAGGCTGAAGGAGATAGTCTCTAAATATTCTTCCAGCTCTGACATTCTAACTTAGGTACAAGGCACCTGCCTGATATATCATAGCTTTTTCTCAAAATACAACTCTAGTTATCAGGGGATATTAACTATTTGCTAGTTGTGGCAGAATTCGGCTGATTGTTTGTCAAACTAAACCTCCTTTCTTCCTGAGAATACCACTAGCCAACATTTTCTAACCCCACTGTAGTTAGGGGGATCCAGGTGCCTAATTTCTAGCTAATGGAACATGGATAAAATGATGCATGCCTCTCTCAGGTCTGGCCCCAAGAAAACTGCCTGTTTTTTTTTTTTCTTTTGTACTTATTTTATATTTAAAACTGCTTTAATTTTATTTATACTGTGATTTTCTGGTACACAGTAACACCCAGAGAAATGCTGAAATCAATATATTAAAAATGACAGGACATCAGAAAAATGGAGGAGGTGGCAGCTCCAAGCCTTCATTTCCTCATAGTAACAGAAAAGCATGCAGAGGGGCACCTGGGTAGCTCAGTTGGTTGAGCGTCCAGCTCTTGATTTCAGTTCAGGTCATGATCTCAGGGTCCCAGGATTGAGCCCCACATCAGGCTCCATGCTCAGCAGGGTGTCTGCTTGAGGATTTCTCTACCTCTCCCTCTGCCCCTCCCCCTGCCCATGTGCTCTCTTTCTCTCTCTCTCTCCTTCTCAAATAAATAAATAATTCCTAAAAAAAGAAAAGTATGCAGAAATTGTCAGAATCAAAGTTGTCAGAACTCTGGGAAACAAAGATTTACAGTGATTAAGCAAATGCTGAACCAAGAAAAAGACAACTTGAAAATGAAAAGAAAGTTTTATGCCATTTTTGTTTGCCTTTACTACACAAGTCTCCTGAGCAGCACCAGCCCTGAAGTGGAGGCAATCTTAAAGTGGCAGCAGCCTGTGTTCTTAGTGGGAGGGCTTCATCCCTAGTTCCAGAGTGAATTGAGCAAAACTTATTAATAAATTATTGTGTATGACTGTTCTAACCTGTCTGTTGGCTACCTGAAAGACTGGTATGAAGTGTTCACTTCTGTTTCATTCAGTTCAGAATTCAGACTGGAAAAGGGGCGGGCATTTATTTTAAAAAATGCTGCAAAGCAAACTAACAAACCACGGATATCTGGGGCAAGAAATTATGAACAAAGAAACATGATAGACTTCCTAATCTTGGAAGGGTTAGAAAAAATGAGAGAAATGTGTTGGGAAATGAAAAGATTCAGAAGCACCCATATATATGGGGGAATTTAGAAAGGCACATGCATTCCTAGGTCAAGAGACATGCTTATAAAAGGAGAAGACCCAAAGCTTACACATTGGGCTGATCCATAGGCTGAGTGCCAAGTTTGGCTAATTGTTGAAGGAGTGCTTCAGCACAGACCCAATCTGCAAAGGCTGGGAAAGGTGCGTGGGTTTATTTTATTTATTTATTTTTTTTTTAAATTTCTGGCACTCAAGGAAAACTCTATCAAAATATTAGTGGGGCACCTGGATGGCTCAGTCCATTAAGCATCTGCCTTCGGCTCAGGTCATGATCTCAGGATCCTGGGATCCAGCCCCACATAGGGATCCATGCTCGGCAGGGAGTCTGCTTCTCCCTCTCCCTCTGCCCCTCCCCCCCTGCATGCTCTCCCTCTCAAATAAATAAATAAATAAATAAATAAATAAATAAATAAATAAAATAAAAATATTAGCTAACCATGATCTAAATAAACACAGACTAAATGACCACCTATGGGAAAGAATACAGTGTTTGAAAAAAGATTTTGGAAAAACACCTAAATAAATGAACTAATATAGCTTTTAATAAATACAATTTTTTAAAAATCTAAATGTGAGGAAGGAAAAAAAGAACCTGATTAACGCCACATTATAATGATTAGTTTCGAACAAAAAAGTGACAAAGCACATAAAGAAACAGGAATGTATGGCTCATTTAAAGAAACAAATAAAATTGATGAAAAGTATTTGTGAGGAAGTCCAGACATTGGACTTACTAGACAAAGAGTAGAAGACTAAAATCTTAAATATATTCAAAGAAAAACATGAACTAAAAAAATCAGAAATAAGTGTATGAACAAAATGGTAATATCAAAATTATAAAAAGAAACCAAACAGAAATCCTGGATCTGAAAAGTAAACTAACTGAATGAAAAAAATCACTACAAGAGTTAAATAGCAGCTCTCAGCAGGTAGAAAAATGAATGATCAAACTTGAGGACAGTTGAAATTATCAAGTGTGAGGAACAGAAATACAAAAGGAATGAAGAGAGTAAACAAAACCTAAGAGACATCAACAAGTGGACTAACAAACAATTGGGATTCCCAGAAGGAAAAGAGAGAAATAAAAAAGCAGAAACAATATTTGAAGAAATAGTGGCTAAAAACTTACCAAATTTGATGAAAAACATTAATAAACACATCCACAATGCTCAATGAACTTTAAGTAGGAAAAATTCAGAGACCCATAATAAGACATATTACAAATAAGATGTACAGAGCCAAAGACAAAGAAAAAATCTTGATGCAACAGGTGATATAGAAAATAAAATTATGGAAAATAATGAAGCTGAAAATAAAAGGGAAAGAAAACTATTAGATCATGCATGTAGCCTTAGGAAACTCAGTGAGTCCATAAAGCAAAATAATATCCATATCACAGGAGCCCCAGAATAAGAGTGGGGGAAAGGGGGCATAAGGTTTATTTGAACAAATTATAGCTGAGAACTTCCCTAATCTGGGGAAGGAAATACACATTCAATTCCAAGAAGCACAGAGAACTCACCACAAAATCAACAAAAACAAGTCAACACCAAGACATATCATAGTGAAACTTGCAAAATACAAGGGTAAAAAGATAATTCTGAAAGCAGCTAGGGAAAAGGATCTTTTTTTTTTTTTTTTAATTATTGTGTTCAGTTAGCCAACATTAGTTTTTGACGTCGTGGGAAAAAGGTCCTTAACTTACAAGTGTAGACACATAAGGTAGCAGCAGACCTGTCTGTTGAAACTTGGCAGGCCAGAAGAGAGTGGAAGGAAATACTCAACATGCTACAAGGAAAAATATGCAGCCAAGAATACTTTAACCAGCAAGGCTGTCATTCAGTATAGAAGGAGAGATATAGTTTCCAAGCAAAACTAAAGAAGTCCATGAACACTAAATCAGTTTGGCAAGAAATATTAAAGGGGACCATTTGACAGGGAAAGAGAGACCAAAAGCAACAAAGACTAGACAGAAACGGAGACTTTACAGGTAATAGTGCCAGTAATACACTGGCACTACATTCATATATATCAATAATTATTCCAAATGTAAATGGAATAAATTATCCAATCAAAAGGCATAAGATATCAGAATGAATAAAAAAAAAGACCCATCAATATGCCACTTATGAAAGACTCATTTTAGATCCAAAGACACCTCCAGTTTGAAAGTGAGGGGGTGGAGAATCATTTACCATGCTAATGAACATCAAAAGAAAGCTGGAGTACCCATACTTATATCAGTCAAACCAGATTTTCAAACAAAGACCATAACAAGAGATGAAGAAGGGCACTATATCATAGTAAAGGGGTCCATTCAGCAAGAACATCTAACAATTTTAAATATTTATGCTAACTTGGGAGCAGCCAAATATATAAATCAATTAATAAAATACTTAACCTGATTGATAATAATACAATAATAGTAGGGGACTTTAGCACCGCACTCACATCAATGGACAGATCATCTAAGCAGAAGATCAACAAGGAAACTAGGGTCTACCTGACACACTGAACCAGATGGACTTAACAGATATATTCAGAGCATTTCATCCAAAAGCAGCAGACTACATGCTCTTTTTGAGTGTACATGGAATATTCTCCAGAATAGATCATGGACAGGTTCACAAATCAGGCTTCAACCACTACAAAAAGACTTGAGATCATACCATGCATATTTTCCGACCACAGTGCTATGAAATTTGAAGTCAACTGCAAGAAAATATTTGGAACAACCACAAACACATGGAGGTTAAAAATCATCCCACTAAAGAATGAATGGGTTAACAGGAAATTAAAGAAGAATGAAAAATACATGGAAGCAACTGAAAATGAAAACATGACAGTTCAGA